GTTGTTAGAATTAGACGCATGAATTCAATCAAAATCATATATATTCAAACTTTTCTTCGCCTATATATAATTCGTCTATGTGTTCAATAAATTTTAACATATATAAGCCAATTGAGAAAAGTAGTTGAATTCCATGGGTTTTCCTTCCTTTTGTTGCATTACGTTCCAAGGGTTGAAGAGAGATAGTCCATCAAGTTGTTCAAGGGCTAACTTGATCCTCTTCCCCAAGGATCCCCGATAAGGGAACCCTAACGACTCCAACTACCGTCCATGTATGATCCATACTAGATCTGACCAACTGCCCATCCTACCTCCTCTACGTTCTTGACAACCCATCTTTGTTTTAGTAGATTCTTTAAGTGGCGTGTTTCGGTCCCTTCCCGATTACTTAGAAAAAGTGAGCCACCGRTTCAGGTACAAGATACTATCATTACTGCCTGCACAATTAGACATCCAACCTGTAATCGCAACGAACCAATTGCAAGAGCGGAGCTCTACCAACTGAGCTATATCCCCCCGAGCCAAGTGAAGTATGCATGAAGGAGTCAGACCTTCTTCTATTCTTTTCGCTGGCGCAGCTGGACTATCCTGGACATGAACTAGAGACCTCGCCCGTGAAGTAAATCATCGCATCTACGGTTCAACCAATTGTTCAACTCCTTTTCTATCATTATATCAATTTTTTAATATGATATATACTCAGGAGTATGGATAAGTTATACCAAAATAATTGATGATGAAAAAGGAATTATAAATAGAGAAAACAACATATTTAAGGTAACATATATATTTTAATGTACCAAAGTATCAACCCGACCAACTCATATGGTTTGGATTGAGTTGCACTTTGATTTGGGTTGGGTTACTCAAACTGCAAACATTGAATTGGGTTGTTGAAATATTTTCAACCCAACTCATAAACACCCCACCCTCACTTGTCTTTTATACGAGGGGCAAACCCTTATTTTTCACATAAGTATCTTAATTTTTGAGTAAATTCCAATTTTAGTCCTTGAGATTTAGTGAAAAACTTGAAAGTGGGACCTAAGCTTTGATAAGCCTAGAAATCATCCTTATGGTTTTTATTTTGATCTAAAAGTAGTCCTTGATCACTAACTCTGTTAAAAATGCCAGTTAAAAAAATGAAGGGTATTTTTATTTTCCCGTTTATTTCTTTTTTGCTTCAAAAGAAAGAATATATAATATATTATATACATATATGATCTTATGCATATATACGACACCCTCCCCTCCTTCAAGTACTCCACATCTCGCCCATTTAACCTTCACCTTCACCAATCTCCACCGGTTACCCCACCCCCTTCGCCTTTCACCTTCCCCGACCTCTGCCTCTCCACCACTACACCATCTCGTCAAAGGGTTTTCTTCGCCCCTCCTCCCCATTGTCCGCCTATCTTACCAGTCCTTGTCGAAGTTGTAAGGAAGAAATCACATTTATGTATTATTGTACGTCATATATTTATAACATAGATAATATAATGTATATTTTAATTTTTAAAGGAAAATTGGTAAAAAGATTAAACTGCCTCACACTTAACAGGCATTGTTTAACGAAGTTAGTAATCAAAGACCATTTTCAAAACAAAATGAAAACCACGAAGATGATTTCTAAACTTATCAAAGTTCAGGTCCAACTTTTAAACCTTTCACTAAACCTGAGGGACTAAAATTAAAGTTTACTCTGATATTTTTTCAATGAACTAAAATTATATATTACGTATTTAATAAACTAAAATTATACACACATAAATTCTAAAACCTGGAACGTGAACCGTGACCCAACTCTCCCCCGGCGATTCCACCTCCATCCCCTTCTCCGGCGAATCCCAACCCCGCATCCACTTCTCCGGCCACAACCGACCACTCTCGTTCTAGGACGAGATGCACCGCCATTGTCGGCTTGATTCAGGGATTCTGGGTTGCTCGCTTATGGTTCTTCATCCACCACCACTGTCGGCTCGATTTGTGTAACAACTACTCTACTCCCATTACAAACTAAATTTAGGGTTTCTGTGTTCAAGTATCTTGAAAATCAAGAGAATATTTTCCTTCTATGCTACGTTCTAATGAAGATGAGGCGACAGATCGAATGATTTTTGCTCGTGAGTTGTTTTGACTTCGATCTTTGCATTTAAAAACAATTTATAATCAAGTTTTTGAACACACTCATATCACCATATATTACTTGGAAATATACAAGTGATTTTATGTGACACTGAACCACATGGTGTAAGAAAGAAGACCCACTCCCATATTCACCACCATCATTCTCTCTTCATTCAACCCTCTTCTGCCATTGTTGATCCCTTTCACCACCTTCTTCTCTTTGGTTTTGTCATATTCTTCCTTTCCACCCTCCAAATCTTTCTTCTTTGGCTTTTCCTTCCTCCAAATCCATCTTCCCACCGACATCGTGGACTTCCCCTAATTTCTCATTCAGCTTCTCAACACCGTCATCTTTGCCTTTTTAGGCACGCTTGACGATAACCATGGTTTTAAAGATCGAATGAGGCAAGGCGATAGAAAAACAAGCCCAGGACAAGGCGTACGCCTTAGTTGATTGAGGCGGTGAGTGGTGAGGAGGCATACTCGCAATCAAAACACTTTCTAAGGTCAAAGAAGCACGGCTGCTATCTCTCTCTCTCTCTCAAGAGAAATTGACCAAAATAGCCATTTCTCCCACGTTAATTGGTTTCCTAACATTCCTCTCCTTGATCTATCTAAATATCACTACATTCAGAAGTTTCACGTCTGCCACTTATGGACCCAATTGAAAGATAATTTTTTATAAGATTTGACTCGAGTCCATGATTGCAACGGCTAGACCTACAATTTGTTTGTTTTTCTTTTTTTGTTTTTCAGTTGGGTCCGTAAGTGAAGACTTAGACTTGCACACGTAATGATAGTTGGGTAAATAAGAGAGATGAATGACTAGAAGACCTGTTTTGTTTATTTAAGAGGAATGATTATTTTGACCAATTTCTCCTCTCCCAAAGCCTTTTAACAGTGTTGCAGTCAACAATGTACGGCGCCGCCCCTCTCTCAATAGACCTCAACCCTCTCTGTCTATAACACACATATATATATATATATATATATATATATGGAAATGTTTATTTGAGAAATAAAGTAGTGATGCTAACCCTTTGTTTCATCAATATTTGCGGTTTTAATTATAAAGCACCGGATAGTTTATCATATGGGTATATGGAAGATAGAAGAGTAATTTCGTAACTTTTACAAATAAGCGGCAATGAACCCCTGTGATTCACATATGAATCCGTAGATTCATATGTGAATCGGTTAAAATAATTCATATGTAAATCACACGAGTTTACATATGAACATATGTGAATCAGATAGGTCCACATATGAACATATAGTTCATATGTGAATAACACGAGTTCATATATAAACTCATTTGTTGCATATTCGTAAATGTTATGAAACAACCCCCTCTATTTTTCAAATAGCTGTAAATTTTGACCAGTCAAATCCGATCGTGACCGTACGAAGGACTAGAAGATATATATATATATATATATATATATATATCCGCCTAGGGGTTACGCCTCGTCTCGTCGAGGGAAAATGCTTCGAGGCCCAATTCCACCATTTAAAACTTTAATGGTCGTTGTAATCTTAGATATCCTGCTATTCTCAACGGGAACTATGATTTATTGGCAAAGAGGCGAAGAAATAGATTCATCATCCCACTCGGATCGATTAAAGAAGGGGAGAACCAACAAATACCTTCTTCCGGTATCTCAATTGAAATCCCTAGAAATGATATTCTCCATATAAGTAGTATTCTTGCTTATTTCGATGATCCTCAATATATAAGAAAGAGCTCGGGACTTACTAAACATGAGATTAGAGAACTGAATTCAATCATCAACGTAGACGATTTGATTGATTATCAAGGAGTCAAGGTATTTTGGCCAAAATACCAAATGGAAGTAAATCCATTTTTTTTGTTCTCGTTGAAGTCCACACTTTGGTCGAACCTTCTTCCATAATGATACAACACACACGATAGCATTATTGGGGGTAAATACATAAATCACTTTAGAAGAAGTCAGGTAGGCGGATTGGTCCGAGTGAAGAAACGAATGAAACTTTCCAGGTATGAAAAAAGGTATTTGGTTTAGGTTCAACGTGTAGCCCCATATAAAAGAACGGATGGTATAAATTCAGGAAAACTTTTTTCCGCCGGATCTCTTGCAGGAAAGTGAGAATCTACAACTTTGAGTTGTTAATTATATCATTTATTACGACCCACTGATAACCATCCAAACGTAAGCGCATTATGAACACTTCTGATTGTGGTTTTTCTGGTGAAACTTTGTCAACCCATTCAAAAGGTTCTTGGTCTCGCTACACCTCATATCAGGTAAGATTCTAGGTTATTGTCATGCTCATCCGGAAGATAAATGACACTCGGTAAACGTTTGATAAATAGCCCCTTAAGTTCTAACCACTGGATCAGTAATCAACTTAAACCCAATCTACCAATCTTAGCTCTAAAAACATACGAAAAGAGAACAAACGAATATAACTCATCAAATATAGACCTGCAATGAAGTCTGAACCACTAAAATCAAAGCATTATAGTACTCCAATCGAACTGAAAACATATCAGACCGAACCATTATAGTCATGATTTGACCTCTTGTTGTACAAGAGCACGCTCAGACGTTTCCATCTCTTATAACTGAAAAATTACAAAGTCTGAAACATCAAACCTCTTATCGACTCAGACTTAAGAGGCTATTAAGATACTCGATGATGATGATATGATGAAAAGTGGGAATTCACATGATCTTGATGAATGTCTTGATGCTACCTAATTAATCTTGTGGACTTGTGTTGAATACTCCAAAACCAACTCTGCAAAGATTGGAATCCTTCATCTTTCTTACTTTTAACCTAATGTCTATGATTTTAGAGAAGGATAATTCATGAAAACACACCAACAATTTGGTAACTTTCTCTTCAACCCATTCATTCATTATCATCAACTATAATTGAATACTCCAAAACCAACTCTGCAACTAATTTCTATTCTTGTTCATAAATCAAACATCACCAAAACTAACATTCAACTTTATGCCTTCTTTCTCTCCAAACAACAATGAAAATGACCCTTTAAGACTACACTTTTTTGTATACCCAGAATTCATCATCTGGTAATTCGCTCACAAGCATACAGCTAAAGCCCAAATCATAATCTACCCAACCTCCTACACTGCATGAATTGGACTATGGCCAGTAGACCCTTGATTGGGATTATTAGCATGAAATGCAGATGGCCTACTTAGACTTCCAACTAGCTTTAAAGAATTCGGCCCACCATCACCAGTTGATTTGCCTAAACTCAGTTTTGACAGCCCCACAAGCTCATCCACATTGATCGGGTTCTTTGAGTGGACTGCTGTGGGTTTAAGAACCTTGTGAGACTCAGCTTGTGGCCCTGGAACCGACCCCCCAGGCCAAAATGGAATAGCAACAGGTATAAATGCTGGAAACATGCCCGGGTAACAGTATTGCCTTCCCTCTTGATGCATCAGGTTGGTTGTCAGGTCAGCAGCTACCTCCACAATGTTTGAATTGGTAGAATCCGTTGATTCACACTCTTCTTCTTTTTCCTCCAGTGTAGGAACACACATAGGATCGTTGATGGATTGAGTCTCAGGTTGTGAAGTGTTTCCATCGTTGTAATCATGGGAAGCCATCATTGAAAGATCAAGAGGCTGCACATTCAAGAAACCAAAACAGAAAGAACAAGCAACAAATTAAGAAATAATACATTGTACCAAGCGTGCATCTTGAGATGCCCTCAATCCCAACTCAAATAGGAAGTCTTAATTCACTTCTGTTGTCCTATCACCTATGATGAGCTCAGGAGGAAAACTCCCACGAGGCCTCATTGCTTAGTTAGCAAAGTGCAAGTCAAAAGGCAAACAACGCAATGGCTCGATTGCAATGCCCTTACAAGGTTTTCAGTATTTCTGGTGTAGATATTTGGAAATTCCTTTCTACCTACATTTTGGTCAGAGTAACTTAAAGATGAAGGGGCACCATCCCCAGCATCCTATGCTCCTAATCATGCACTCTGCTGAGACAAAACCATTTACCTTAAGGTCACAGAGTAAGGGCAAGCATTTTTCTTCTCTACTGTTCCCTTCATCTAGAAATACTGGTTCGCCTATGTGCGATTGAAAAAAAACATAACATTTTGTATTCTGATTACTTATCTTTTGTTTTGCTACCCGCAAGGACCACAACAAATATGCAAAGGTGAACTAGATGAAAGATACATACATCATCAGCAACAATATCGAAGAGGCTAGACCGTCTCTTTCTCCTCGACATATTGCTTTGCCTGATAAAATATTTCTGGGCATGGCTAGCCACTTGAGTTGGTGTTCTTGAAATCACATAATTTCTTGCAATCCCACGCCAATCACCTTTCCCGAGCTTCTGCAACCCTAGTAGAAACATCCTATGTTCTTCCTCTGTCCAGGGAACACCTGGAAATCAAATATCCAGATCCCATTCACATAAAGAAACAACCCCATTTAGCATATAGTTTGTTACCTTGGATGGTTATCAGAAGATTTGGAAAACTTAAGATTCTAAAATGTGTGTACGGATAATTATCTCTGATTAATTAATTATCAGACAACTATGAATAAAAGAATCAGGAAAAGAAGGATTACAAGATAATTATTTAGTCGAACCAAATAAATTATAAAACGATGGAATTACGAACCAACCCTAGAAAACATTAAATTATGAAATTTATGATTGCAAAAATTGGAATATTAAGGAAAAAGATAGAGGTCTGACCTTTTTTTCTTTCACGGCTAGAAGAAGAGCCCGCAACAAAGTCTTCCGATGCATAGCCGTCGGCAGCGGCGTTATGATCCGGTGTGTCTCCTGGAGAATCGAGGTCTGCGCCGGCGGCGGCGAATGAAGCGTTGAAAGCACCGCTTCCGGATCCGGTGTAGTGGGTCAAGTTACCCATACTAGCACTTTTACGGATGGATCCATCCGTAATTCGTACTCCAAACAGCTTCAAACCTCGATTAGGACAGGTCCGAGAGTTGTGGCCATTGTTGCTGCAATGAGAGCAGCGCCTTGTCATGTCGGTGTGTGTGGGTTTAGAGGGAGAAGTTGCAGTGCATGATCGGAGAATGGCTAGGGTTTTGTCAAATTTGATTTGGATTGAGTTTCTCTCTCAAGAAATGGGTATCGTTTTTATGTTACGGGGTGGATGAGAGAGAAAGTGTGAAGGGGATGGATTTTATATACATGATCCATTTTTAAAATAGAGTAAATTACGTTTTTAGTCCCTTTGGTTTGTTCAAAATTGCAACTTTTGTCTTTATAGTTTAAAAATTACTATTTTCATCCTTATAATTTGTAATTTGTTGATATTTCCATCTATGTGTAGGTCTTATTATTGTTTTGTTACCTTGTACTTAAAACTAAGAAATTAGATCAGAAACGAAAATTACAATAAATTACAAAATATAATAACAGAATCGTAATTTCTAAACTACAAAGATGAAAATTGAAATTATCAACAAATCAAAGGATGAAAATCGTAATTTACTCTCGAATATATGAATAAATTGCATTTAGCTCCTTGTACTTATATTGTTTTGGTCGAACTGGATTTTTAAATCGGGAAATTTACAGAAATACATCCGCAACTTACAGAGATACCACATGTCAGCAAAGGGTTAAAACCCTAATCTCATTAAGCTTTGAGCCCTATCAGCAATTTTGGCTAAAAAAAACTCATTTTCCATGTTTTCAAATATTTTTAATTGTGGATGTACGTTATTTTTTCAACAATAAGTTGATTTTAATTCCAACTTCTATAGTAATCGTACAATTTATCAGTACGTTGATGGTTGTTTGGTAGAATTATACAGTAATTTGATCTATAAAGGATAGAACGGTTTTAGGTGAAGGTGTACAAATCTTTATGATTTCAATTATTGAAAGTATCGGGTCATATATTGAAAGGTAAATTTCAAGATACTAGCAGATATAGGGTTGCGTTTATAAACCAAGCAATTACAAATATGTTCCCAATGGCCCATCATGCTCTTTGTTGTCGCCATCTGGAGATGAATGCAAGCACCAGGGACAAACGAGTTAAGATGCAGAAAAAAGAATATTTTGGAAGACATGCAAAGTATATAAGGTGGTGGACTTCGACATGCTTATGCAGGGTTTACGACACAATGTATCTAACAGAGCTCCATTGATGGACGAGGTTGGATCCGAGATATGGTCAAGGGTATATTTCGCTAGAATACGTAACAATACTATGACTTCTAACAATGTCGAGTCGATGAATGTATTGTCCCGTTTTATGTGCAAATTACCAATCATGTCACTTATGGATTACTTTCGAGCTTTACAACAAAATTGGTATTTTATTCGTAAGTCGGACATCGTCAATTGATAATATGGAGTAAATCCTGAGTTGGTTTGATGGGGTGGTTACTCCCATATTGTAGCTAGAAATAAGCATTGGGTCATTGGGGGCACAATGATGCGGGCTCATGGAGTCGACATCGGCTATTGACTATATGGTTTAATTTCTAGTGAACGGGCATATTTAGGATTATTGGGGGATCCCTATGCAAGGTACAGATTAGGATTGGTTGAACTTGATGATCATTAATCCGTAGTGAGGCTCATTAACATATATATATGGGTTGGCTCAAATACAAACCAAGATTTTTGTGTTAATTTTGTTAACCAAGTTCAACCAATCATATTCTATCTTTTCTTTAGGTTCACATATAACTCATATATTAATGACAAGGGTAATTAAGTAATTTGTGATTTATGTAACTCCCAAATCATTAATTGGAAGTTACAACTTTAAAATCTCAATAATTGATGATTATGTAATATTGATATTTTTTTATACGTGTTCATGTTTTGTAATTTCGATTTATTCTATCCATAATGATATTGATTTTGTAATTGTTAAAGAATTT